AAATTCACTTCTGCTGACAGCTTACAATACGTCATGCCTTGATTATACCTACAAAAGTACCATTCAACAATTGAGAGATTATTCTTGGAGTGCAGCTGTTGCTGAAGGAGGTATGAATTGTAATTCTAATGTCCAACAACAGGCTTGAAAACCTTAAATAGTTAATCCACAATCCAGAAATTGAATTCTTAATTTCTTAGAATATATTCTGTTATGTTTAAAGAATGTGCAGTAAAACCTGCTCAATACCCTTTATCAAGTAGCCATCTTCTTGATTAAGCTGTCATCTTCATTATCAACATTTTTTTGTGGAACAGATATATTTTTCCATTTAACACATGTAAATATTTCATTCTAAGAATCTTAGCCTTTTGTCATATCAGTGTCTTTTATCCCTTCGACCTGGGGCTCAGCTCGGCACCGTTAGTAATCGGGGTTCCAAGATCGTTACTCATCCAGAAATCCATGTTGCCTTCAATTACTTAACTTTTGTGACTTCATGGAGTGTAGTAAGTAATTCGGCTAGCTACGCCAGCCGTTATGAATTACATCTTCAAGTCTAGTTTGTTTGATTTTAGATGAAGGGAGAATAAGAGAGTTACAAGAATGTGACAAATCAAGGGTGTGTTTTGATATTAGCCAAGAGGAAACAAATTAATAAATGCCTCGTTTAAATTGTTTTCTGTCATTAATGTCAATTAAAAACTTTACTGAGAACATACTTTATTTCCTAGTAATTATCCCAATTAATTTACATTTCCAGTGAACTCAAAACCTTGATTAAGCAGTCACCTCAATTAACAGCCATGTTGTTTTGCTGGAACCATTAATGGACAGACATCTCGAAATGTGAAAAGGAAACCTTTCGTTCTCATGTTTTCATAATTTAACAGTCATGCTACCTATTTTTCACACAATTTAGTATTACAGGTTGTTTTCTAAAATCTTTTGAAACTGTAAACTTGTGAAAATGCCTGATTCTCTAGGACGACAATGGATGTGGCAGACATGTACAGAATTTGGATTCTACCAGACTTCTAGTGGAAAGCCCGATCTCTTGGGAAATTACTTTCCTCTAGAATATTTCGTGAAGCAGTGTGCAGATGTCTTTGGACCCAGGTAATTATGAAATTGTTGTTGAGAAATAGCGTTAATTGAAATGTAGAGATGAGTGAGAGTTTTATGTTATTGACTTAACTTTGCAATTCCCAACAGATACAATGGTACTTTACTACAACATGCTATTGATCAGACCAACATTGAATATGGTGGTTTAGCTGTGGATACATCTAGAGTTGTGTTTGTTCATGGATCTGTGGATCCATGGCATGCTTTAGGAATTACACATACTCTTTTGCCCAAATGTCCTGCTATATATATTAAAGGCACAGCTCATTGTGCAAATATGTATCCAGCTGCACCGTCTGACCTTCCCCAATTAAAAGCTGCTCGAAAGATGATTGATTCACTTTTGACTCAGTGGTTGTCGTAATATTTGTCCTTCCTGGTACAGAATTCGGTTCATTAATGCAAATCGAACATTTTACAGAGAAATTTGATTTGGACAGAAGTCCTGCTGAAAATCTTTAGTGTTCCTAGAGATGTACAAAAACCAAAACCTATATCTAGTATATCCAGTATTGAAAATTGGCTTCTTTCAAAATAAAGTTGACAATTCATTTTGTATTCGTACGAGTATTAGATTGCAATAAATGGTGTTAACCTGATTGAATCTGCTGAACAAGAGATTAGCACACAGAACAGGCCAGGAGCAAATAAGGTTCAAATTATAGCTTTAAAGCTGAAAATGCAAAATATTTTTCCCACAATGTCAAGATGAATGTTGACTAGTCTTCCAGGAGCTCTCTCAATTCTTTCATATTGTGTATGGTTCACACCACTTATTCTTTATTCTTAGGGCACAGAACTTTTAGTGCATATAATCACAGTGATTGTGCCTGTGGAAGGGTGAGTTGTGGGAAAGAAGTAAGCTCTCTCTTTGGTTGGAAATGGTTCATTTGGAATGTGCAAATATTTTAAGTTGACCTGGGCTGTTGTGAAGAAACTTGACTGAACTTAAAGAAATTCGTCACAGATTATCACAGATTTCTATTGCAATAAAAAATTCTGGTAATGGATGAAAAATTCAATGTTATCTCTGTTCTATGGTCTTACATATGTATAGAACTTTACTGCTACATTAGTGTATGTAAATTTTGAAGGAAAAAATAGTCTAAAAGTAAAAGGCAACAAGTTATTAGAAAACCACCCTAATCTTTTTTGGGACAGCATTTCTATTTATTTGGTCTAACATGCAAGAGTAACTTCAGAACTGAAGGAAGGACTAATTTTTTTGTGTAGTTTTTTTGTGTCCATAAAGTAAGTGAAAGAGCATACTTTTTAGTGCATAAATTAAGACCATCAGTGCTGTAGTGACCATCTCGAAAGTATATTAAAAGAAAATGGCTGATACTTACTTTATCATTTAAGAATATTCATTTCTGTGTTTGTTTTTGGCATAAATGTTTGGTTTTGTAAGAAAGAATGTTACTCTGGTGTGGCACAGTACAGTCCATAAGATTTGGACATTACAATTTAATAATTTATTTTTTTGGTGTGTTCAGCCCCTGAGAAAGTTTATGGGGCACTTGAAAAATTATAGTAGGGCCATTATTGTATTAAACATTTTATTTAGAATGATGCAGTCATAGGGTCATATTCCTAAAAATAATTATTAACTGACAATTTCTTGAGACTTTAAAACTAAGAAATTTAATTGTCAATGCCTACACTGATCCTACAGTGTGTTTGTTCTACATATGTACAATTGACTTCCATTTGCAAGTCGCATTGTTGTATGGCTGTTATTTAATAAATAATTAATATTTTTAATCAACATGAAGGTTAAGGCATCTCCAAAATGGCAGTGAAGGAGTCAATGAGTGTATAAGTGCAGTTGTGGTTCATGCTGTTAGGCCAGAAGTACTTAAAGTCCGCTGTTGCACTAACTGGAAGAGAAATGTGCTTGGGTGAACACTAAAACATTCGTTTTGTAATTACTTGCTAGGTAATGTAAAGATACAGAAACTGCGAGATAAAAATGTTTGGAGAATGATATGATTAAAAGATTACTCTCAATTTACAAAACATGTGGATAAGGACACAATCTTGTGTTGATAGACTCAATCGGCTCAATTTTTTCAGGTATTGTAGATATTTCTGGAGTTTAGGTATGAGAAGTTCAGAAATTACTTTCTAGATATAAAGCAACTGAAATATTGTGATATACAATTTTTGATTAGTGGCTGAATTGGTGAATGAAGAATGCCAGGGTTTCATATATATTGAAAGTAATAAAACTTGAGAAAATTTTATGTTGTGAGCAAGATTTGGTAAATGCAAGTCCATATTATCGGTAACCAGTGGTGTACCTGAGAAAGGAAGGCTTGTGGGGCTTCAGTCTCCTCCTGCAGAAGCCAATGATGTAAAAAAATTTCTAAACACTTTTTCTAATTTTCTATACTAATGAGTCATTCAATATGTCAGTTGTTAATGTTATACATATTAACTAAGTCAACAAATAAAAATATATTTTATATTGAGCATAAATGAAAACTTGTGTACAAGAAAACATGTTGATGCTGTATCTCTTGACTCCCCCTCCAACTCCCTGAGAAAAATCATGGGTGGACCTCTGTTCTTGATGTTTTTTTAAAATTATTTTTGTATTGTAATTTACACATTTGTGTCAATTGGTTATTTTCACTAGATTGTTTTTCAATTTAGGATAAAATGTTTGTATGTCAAACATTGTTATGTGGCTTTTAATTGTTAAATAAATGTTCGTATATTTGATTATTATTAAAATGTTTTGTACATTTTATTTTTCATTACAAAACATAAGATTTGACAATTATGGCACTTCCTTGAGACTCTAACAGTAGTGAAGATATTTTCTTAATAAAGTACATTGATCTTTCAGGAAATAACTTGCAGCTGTAGCACTTTTGACTGTTTTTAAAGAAAGTATTATAGATCTGGTTCAAAGGAAAAGAAAATAGATTTCCAGATCAGAGAATTCAGTGAATTGTTTAATAAAGTGCTTCAGTATTTCAGGTAAAGTTAGATTATGTATTGATTGCCAGAGCTGTGTTAACAGTAAAGATCTACTACCAACTTAATGAAAGGGTGGGGTACTGACAGGATAACATTTTACAGTATTGTGAAGATTTTATTAGTAATCCTCACCTGTTGTGTACAAGTTATAATGCTTGAGGCAATGTGTAACCATTATATATTTTGGTGTCCATGCACTGACAGTGTTGGGTTAGGGCATCAGGTAACAACTATTGACTCTGCAGTGACTGACTGGAAGGTCCTAGGATTTGAATTCCGATGGGTTGACTTTTGAGACTAGCTAGAGGGGTAGTTTAATTTTAGCCGTCTGGAAGAGAATTCTAATGGCTGGATGATGTGATCAGTAGTTTACTGTGGTTTCTCCAAACAATACTAGATGAATCCTGGAGAAGTAATCTAGCCAATGGGTCATGGACAATCATTCCTTCCTTATCCTTATCTTCATTTCTTCCTCTCCTCTTACAGACATGCACAAAATCTCACTCACATATATGGACATACAGGCAGACACACACACCCTATGGTTGTGCTACACGTAAGGAGACTGATCAACATCTTGGGGCCGTGCCTGCTGGTAGAGATTCTGAAGGGAGGGAGGGGGGATTTACTGCAAGCTGATGTATGGGTCTTCTCTGGACCTCATGTTCTAGTGAGTGAGAACTACTGTTTGAGATAGAAATGTTTGCAGAGTCATGTGATTAAAAGATTACACTTGATTAGTAAAAAATTGTGGGAAAGGGCAATTGATAGACTCAATTGTGCTCAACTTTTTCAGATATCATACTATTTCTGGAGTTATTTATTGGACTAACAACCACATGAAATATTTTTGTTGTTACCTAAAGTGTTAATTGAGTTTTCATAATGTTCAATATTAAACTTATATTAAAGCAGTGTTTTTCGCAAATCTATCTATCATTTATGCAACTGCATCCCTTTTGGTTTCCTTGTGTGGTGTCTGTGTTAAAGCGCCTGCAGAGTTGAATGGGTCTATGAGGAAAGTAGAGGTGGTCTACAGGGATTTGAGATTATCAGATCACAGAATTCAGAACTAGCACCCCAAAAAATAATGAGGTAATTAAGCATTAATTATTGTCTGAATAGAAATGATTCCCTTTATTTCCCTTCTCTATGGATGAAAAAATGGTACCTCGATTGCATTTTCTTTTACTTAAAAACTTAAATACAGAGTGAAATTATCTGAAGATTAGTATTTCTCAGTCCATTCGGGATGCAATTTTAAAAACAGTGAGTACTTGACACTCTTATATATGATTTCTAAAGTAAGATATTTCTGTGAGAAATTATAAAATTTTTGCACTCTTAATCGATAAAATATGTACTGGAATTTTATTCTAAATTCTTTAATTTCTGAGCACTTCAGGTCCCGGCACACGAGCGGTGCCTTGAAGTGCGTCGAGTAACACCCGTCGTAGAATAATACTAGCTTGCGTATGAGCTGGTATGAGCGCTTTGGCCGTACCGCACAAGAAAGTGTTTATCTACGACGCGTGTTACGTGACAGAGGTCTTAAATGAAATAATGTTATCATTTATTTCTATAGGTTTATAAGCAATTATTAATAGCAGGACAATTTTTTAATACTATTTCTCGAAATGAATTTTGATAGCGAGTTGAATGGGCCGCAAAACGTTGGCTGTACCACTGGCGGGGGTGCGCAAATCCCGTATGGGTGGCGGGTTGAGTGCACTTGCACTGATGCCGCCTGCCGGCATGTGCTGAGCTGAGCAGTGCTGAGTGTGCTGAAAGCGCTATGATAAATTGGATTGTAAAGAATTACGTAAACGTAGAAATCTTCGGTAAATAGTAACCTTTCATGATTACCTCGTAAATGCATAATTACAAGCGCTCCAAAGATGGACAATGCTGTACAAGTGAGTATTAGATAGTGACGTGCGGAATTGTGTAACCTAAATGATGTTTGACATTTGCTATAACAGAAGTTTGTTTTGTAGGTTCAGGAATTGAAGGAGAAGGGAAATGCTTGCGTTCGAGGCCAAAATTATGCCGAATCCATTTTACATTATACAGAAGCCATTAAATTGGATCCCCAAAATTTTTCTCTTTACAGCAACAGATCCTTAGCTTTTTTGAAAATGCAACAATTTTATTTGGCAATGGAAGATGCAAAACAAACTATTCGCTTGAAACCAGATTGGGCAAAAGTATGGGAGAAGATCATTCAATTCCCTTCTTAATCTTGTTTGCATTTGAAAATTTTCACTCGATTATATACATTATTGACCTAGTATTTCTTTAAGCATTGTTATTGTTTCAGGGTCACTTTCGGAAAGCAGAAGTTGAATTTCAAACATTCCAGTTCTCAGATGCTTTACTTTCATATGGGCGTGCTTTACAGTTACAACCTGAAGATCCTGGATTAATTGAAGCCTTGAGACGTGCTTCACGAGAAAGCCAGAGAGATCAAAGAGGTATTGTGTACAATTGATCATCTACGTATCAATATGCAACTTAGAGAATGTGTATTTTATTGATTTTCTGTTTATTTTCTGAATTCTAGCTGATGATCAGATACCATGGTTGGGAGCAGGAGTGGGTATTATTACTGGTGTATTAATCGTGTTGGCAGATCGCATCCTCACTCGTTCTCCTACTTTGACGGTGAGTAGTATACTATTCATTTGTCTGATGTTTTAGATGATTAAAATGTGATCTAAACCATTGTTTTACAGCATCCTATACTAATGGTGCTGCTTACCTTGACTATAGCAATGCTGGGTTATGCTATAGCTCGTGCCTTTCGCTACTATGTGAAATGCCAAAGATCATCTCTTCTTGAACCTCCTCTTGATTTACTTGAAGGTTAGTACTGTTAATTGTAATTTTAAGAATTAATTTGTTTACATTTGCTGGCTTTGAAGTATATTTGTATGTTTGAAATATTACCATTTCTTTGGATTGGAAATCTTGATTCCAAATTTGAATTTCAATGTTTCTTGTCGGTATGTAGTTGAATTCTCTTTAGTGGAATATGTAGTGCTCCTTAGTTCCAATACTAGCTACATGATAAAAAAGAAGTGTTTAGTACTTCCCTCATATTTACTTGTTTGATGCATGTATCTAGGATTGCTTCACAGATGCTGTAAGGTCAAATTTTTGCAACAGAAATAAGCCTTAAAATTCATCCAATTGCATCACTTTTGTTTGAAGGAGCTTTTTGAATTATTGCTGAAAATATTAATTTTTTTTGTGTTCAATTGCTCATGTAGGAGCAAGTGTGAAATTGTTTGACTAGTTGCTCTGGGCCTGCATACCACTATTTAACAGAATGATAATGTGTCTGATAAAGTCACTGTAGTGCGTGATCAATATTACTGTGATGTGTGAAAATTGTGTACCTCTCTGGATTTGTGTGTTAGTGATGTTCTATTATTTAGGCTTAGCAAGTTTGAGGCAGATTTTTTTATCTTTGAGCCAGAACAATATTGAACATTGCGATTTGTTTTTTATCTTCAGTATAAGAGACCATTGTATAGTCTTCGCCCTTGGATTTTATCAGAAGGCTTTGAAAAACGTGTATACTTAGTCTTAATTATACTACTTTTGGATTTTCAAAATTGTTATCCAAGGTAGATAATTTGCGTACAAATTCTCATAGAAATCTGGCACTTCTTGCTTCCATTTCATTCTATCTTTTAGTTCTAATTGTTTCAATAATCTCCGTGTGAACCTGAGCTATTGATATCTGTTTGTTGTTACCACTTTTGTTTTAGTCAGACCTCAATTTTGGTTCCATTTACCCATTATCAGTTTTCTCCAAAACTTCCAAGACATTTATATTCATTATTTATTTATTTTTTGATAAATAGCCCATGGATACTGAAATATACAATACAAATATGATTTTAACACACGCAATTATTCAACAGCACTATTTAACTGTGCAATAATTGTTCCCTTATAATTTGCATGTTACTACAGTAACAATAAACCCACCTTTTCTCTAAACACTCTAATTTTTTCACTTCCTGTGGTATTTTATTATATGAAACAATTCCATTATTGAATACTGATTTTAATGACTTATTGTTACTTAGATTTTTTGGGTCGAATTTGTTTGCTTGCCTTGTTAAATAATTATGAACAGCTGAGATTTTTCTTACTAAATATTCCAGGAGCAATTTATTTTCTTATCTATATGTGAATGTTAACATATTTCTTTTAACCTCCCTTTCACCCAACAAATAGCCCAACTCTCTTAACATTGAAATGACCTTTTCACTACGCCCTTTATTTAATACTGCTCTCATTCCTCGAATCAAGTTTTGTTGTAAATTTGCTATTTCCTTTTTATATGCCATATTAAGAACTGTAGAACAGTATTTAATATGTGGTAGCAAAATTAAATTAAATAACTACTCCTTTCCTTTGAAATAATTTTTCTTAGTTTGTGTAATAAATAAACTTTAATCTACACCATTTATTTGTGTATTCTCCTCCATTTAGCATAAATTCTTCAATGTTATTAGTTAAAATTTTACTCTCAAAAAATAGGTCTACCATTAGCGATTTTGTTCCCAACTCATTATTCCTTTATTCCATTATTTCATTATTCCTTGAAAATTAAGACCTTTTTTGATTTTTCTCAGAATATTTTTTTGTTTATTTTCAGAATTTAATTCTAACCTGTAAATTTTGAATTTTTCTAAAGACTTTTGTTCTATCCTGTGAATGATTTAGTCACAGCTAAAAACATGTACTGCAAAGAGTTGTTCTGAAAGAACCAAATGTTATTGTTTATCTTCATTTCTAAACAGCTAATTTTAAACAAAGCTTCATCAAGATGATTTTTTTGTTATGAAATTAGAAATATACAACAAACTTCGAGATTCTAGCGATCTTCTGATAATGAGCGGAACATGTTCACTTGGTCTAAAACACACCCTCCACTAAGGGTTACCAACCTATCAAGCAAAAAGGTACCAAAGCTCTTAGGGATGGAAATGCAGAAGTAAACAAAATAATATTAATTTATGCAAATTTATTTCAGAAGTAGCACATAATTCAACAAGTTTGTGTGAACCCCTGTTGCAGGCTCTACAAAGGGAAGGAAGTGATTCACTGCCACGTGAATGTTATTTTGATCAAAATACTAAAATATAGTGCACAGCAAGGCACATGTTGAAGAAAAAAAAATAGTTTTTAGCACAGCGATTACTATAAACTGTATCTCTCCACGACTTTCTGTGTTGGTTTTCTGACATGAAAATATTCTAAAGGAATAAATTACAGTTCAGACAGTGAGTCTCGTGTACAGAAAGGACACTGTATTTCCATTGGAACAAGATTTAGTTTCAATACCCAGTCAACTGCAACCTGTTCTGTCAAGACAATTGCTGATAGTTGTATTAAATTGAACCTTGGCATCCCAAAAACTCATATATTCACAAACTGAAATCTAAAACCAGAAAAAAAATACTAATTGCAGACCGATGTAGTGAAACAGCTAGTGAATGCAGTTGATGTCCTACATATTTTGTAACTAGTGAGATAATTTATAAACAAATGAATGCTGAACTCAGCTAATCATTGGTTCAACAGAAGCTCAACAGATCATTGGTTTCTTTTAATTTTACTTTTAGAGTTACCAAAATATCTCCTTCCATTAGCCATGGACATTAGAAAGAAGCTTAAGACAAATAATATAATATAATAATATTGAGGACACAAAAGAGAAACAGAAGAAACAAAGTGCCTCCCTCCAGAGAATGAAGGAGAAAATATTGCCAAAAGTTCCATTAATGAATAAGCCTTTAGGACAAAATAAAGGATGGCCAAAGAAGAAATCAATCGTAAATGCTGTAATTGATTATGAATAAATAATCTTCATTGATTTGAAATTAGAAATATATACTGTATTCTTGTTGGAAATTAGAAAATTACAGCAGAAAGTAATCATGATTTCAAGTATAATTTTTTTTAACTTCAATAGAACCATCTTATTCAATTAAACATAGTTAATGAAAAAATAATTTATTAATGTCATCAAACAAAACATATTCAATATTACAATTTTGTATTTAGCAGCAGGCTAAATTTGCAATTAAATCTCAGCAAAGGGAATTACATTTCAGCCCTACAAGCAATTATAATACTTAAGGTATCTGAATCAAATATGCATATCTAATCTTATGGGTTCATTCTGTACATTGTCATAAATCGACAACAAATATTTTTGAAGTAAACATTTGTTCCGAAGTAATTATACTTGAACTGTGTGAAACAGTCTGTCAATTCTCATAATTGGTTTTTCAATTTATGCACTGCGATTCATATTGTGCCTTCTCGTTAGCAATTCCCACTTTAGAATTTGTCTTATCCCTACTCTTCCAAGCAGCCCGGGTCTGCACTCAAGTTGCTGGCATGTGGCTCCAGAGGTCAGTCAAATGCAAAATGTGGTTCAGGTTTGCCTTAAAACAATGTGGCCATTTTTGTACAATCTCAACAGTAAAATAATAATTTGAGCTAGGATGTTTTAAGTTTTGAAATTGAGAAGACCTTTGAAACATGAATTGGCAATTTTATGAACAGGGTTCTATAAACAACGTGCTTATTATTTTAGAATATAAGATTGAAATTACCAGTGGACAATTCAGCAGTTCTTAGTAATACTTTCCTCCTCTACAAGGGATTGTTCAAGATAATTCCAGTGGTACTTGTGTTAATTCCTTAATTTTTAACCTGCATTTTCTGTTATAATGTAGAGAAGTTGGTGTGTGAATTCCAAATGGTTATATAGTTTTGTAGACCGTGCACCTGTGACTGCACAAAAGATACAGACATCACATCCAGTCATTACTCAAAAAAAAATTAGTGTTTTAGATTATGAAACAGATTATCCTCATGTCCCTTCTCTACCATCGACAAATACAAGCACAAACCAACACAAACAGGCCAGGGAGTGCGTCAAAACCAAAACCAAAACAGAGACAGTGAGAAGAAACACATTCCTACTGAGCCTAAAACACAAGTTCTTATTTTATCTAACAGCAATGGTCACCATCTTTCCTCAATTTTCAGTAGAAAGTTACCCTCTCATTAGGAAGATAAAGACAAGCTGTGTTGGAGTAGCACGGGAATTTCTTGCAGCTGATCTAAATTGCTAGTGGATACTCATCAATTCTCCTCTCTTTCACTTGTTACTTTCATTTCTTTGGCAAATACTTTTTCTTGTATTTCAAATATATCATGTTTTGACATTCCTGCTTATAAATGGTTTAATTTATAAAGTATTAAGAAATCAAATGCGTACTTCTTTAAGTGTTAAGTTTTTGATTTCTTTTCAGAAATGAAACAAAATGAAAAGAATGATAAAGAATGCCAAGATGATTCGTCAGTGCCTGAGGTTGGAAAACATGAAAGGACACATCGGTACACAAAAGCACAGGCACGGCAACGATACAAGAAGAATAAATCATAAATGTGTTGCTGAGCAAATTAATGTTTTCTACCCTAAGAAGCTTGCATTTCTGTGATGTGTACCTACATCTCTTGCTCAGAATGTCAGGCTCTCACCAAAAATTGTCTCTAAATACCTATGTATGAAATCTGAGGTAGATTTGCCAGTAAGTAAATTTGATTTACTTATTACATATTATCAGATCAGCTTTACTTAAGAGGAAACATGCATTAATAAAGTAGGACCTACAGTGATAGAAATGATGCTGTGAAAATTTTTTAAAGTTCATTGCTGAAAAGTGAAGAATGATGCTCACTCGAGAGTTGTTGATTTCTGTAGCTCGTGCGATGAATCGTTTATGTATATATCTATATATGTATCTTGTGTGGTTTGGTAAAGTTTGCACATTTTGAGGATGACTTTGTCTCCTTACAAATGATCTTTTACAAAGAAGAACGTTTTAAAAGGAAAAGTAGAACTTGAATGAAACAAGTTTTCATGCTGATAAGCTATGCTAGTTCTAACAACGATTTACAAATTTTTATAGAACACTGTCTTGTTTTAACAAATGATATATTCTTCAGAAATGTTTTCATATTTATACTGCCTTAAAAGTTTACCTATGCCAGAAATATATTCATCTTTTGTAATATATTTACTATAGTTGTGTAGCATATTGTAAAGTAAAATAGTTTTTGTATTTATTATGAAAAATGAGATGTTATTTATTATTGCACAGACCATATTGTGCATGTACATTTTTCTTCTTGTTCAGACGTATCTCAGTAAATTCAAAGTCTTTATTAAATATAGATAGAAAAAACATACATGTTATGTTTTGGAATTTTAGTCAATTTATGTAAGATCTCTATAAGTGGAGAAATTAATACCAATGGTTGCTTAGAAGATGTAGAGAAACTAACTTTTCTGGGCAACATATCACATTTCTCTAGACATTTAAAATGGACCCTTTTTATCTAGAACTAACTCTAGTTGAATGAGATGGCAACTAGTATATAGGATACAGTGCCATTTTCCAAGTGCTCCTTTTTCATGTAAAATCTTTTTCTCTGACATATTGCAAAATTTTAATATTGACACAAAATGTATTGGTACCACCTACTTGCATTTAACAACCTAGCAAGAGTGCTATTCTGCTAATAAGAGTGCATATAAAAAAATTAGATAAAATGATTTATTAGATTGAACTCAACATAACTTTTTCAGCTAAGCTACTTGTTGAAATTTAGTTTTTTTGTCTGTGGGAAGTAGTAAAAGGTTTGTCTTTGAAATTTTCAGTTGAGACAATTTTTTTAAATTTCACATTGGAAGCCAATCTTTTTGATTTGTCTGCTGAGTTATCACCATTAGTTACATAATTGAATAGTGGGCAACATTTTCTGTAGTTGGTTAATGGATATTTGTTTAATGGTATTTTTCAAATGTTTTGAAATTTATTTACATTTTCATTTATATTATCATTTCATTTGCATTATCATTTTAATGTCATTGCTCAAATATCATAAAATTGATTTTGAGTTGGTGTTCACATGAAAGAGAAGTTGCTTTTTATTAAAATGACAATGTTAACATTTTTCTGAAATTAACTGTTTTGAGTGATTGTGTTTGCTGATAATGAACAATATGTGTGACAAGAGCAAGTGTATGTAAAATTAGTTTTATGTATTTTTAATACACGGTTCACGTTTCTGTTACCAAGGAGGCACATTTTTCTGTATTAGATTCTTTTGATTGTTACTGAATTTCCTCTAATTTTCAATTAAAATTTTGTTGTAATTTAAACTTCGTAATAATATGAATATCTTCAGTCATTATATATTAAATGCATTTGAATTGCATGACTTATCTTTTGAATACCTTCTTCCCTGTAGCCCATATTTCTTTTTACTCATGAGAACACATCAGAAAGACTTGCTAATGAAAATATCTAGAATCTTTTCTCATGAGAAAATAGTTTCATCGAAGACATGCTTTTAATTTATTTCCGAGAGTAAATTGAGTTATTTGTAATTTCGTTTTAATTTCCTGTAATTGAGTGGTTAAGAATTCAATGTTCTGATCCTTTGAGACTTGGCCTTTGTTGCCATGCAGTCTCATTTCTGTTTCTTCTTTTCTTTGCACAATCAAGTTAAAATTTTCTACATTTTCTGCTTCAAGTTGGTGTGAAAAAAATTCTTTGAATATTCCTAAGACTGTGTGATTTAATGTTAATTTTTGATTTTTTAATTGCATTTTAAGAATATTATATTTTCAGAATATTGTTTGTTTTTATTGATGTACTTGTTTGAAAATTGTACATGTTAAATAAATAAAATAACCATAATATGATGTTTTTCATTAAATTGACTGTATTACTAGTGTAAATGAAAAATTACATGACTGTTCTAATGCATGCAAGCAGGCAAAACACCATCTACGCAGTATCAGATTTGTGGCTGGTGACTGCTGACTTAGGGACTAGTTCTTACGCATAGGAAAAGGCGAAAATATTTTTGGAGTCAGCATGAACACTGGGTTTTAGGAAGCCATTTTGTGTGTGATTATGAGTATCCCAAGAGAAAATTTTTCAGTAAAGGGGCAAAGTTTAACCGTAGATCTCCATGATTTTTGGCTGTTCGCCTGCCTTTTAACTGTATTCAACTTGCCCTTACATGACACTGGACATGTCTGATATAAAAGAATTGGTACTGAAAGATGTTAATACATGTATTGTTGCTCCCATTAAACTGCTAGCAAGAATTCTTTTGACTGTATATTCAACTTGCCCTTACATGGCACTGGACATGTCTGATACAAAAGAATTGGTACTGAAAGATGTAAATACATGTATTGTTGCTACCATTACACTGCTAGTAAGAATTCTGATCTGCAAATTACTCAAAGCCTGATTGCGCTTTTGGATTAAATGACAATACATGTAGTATGAGATTTTTATGAGCTTTTAGAAACATGTGAATTCATTTTCATAAATTTTCTCTGTTTTCTAGATATTTGTGAAAAACTGAAGGAGTGCACTCTCCTACTTTTCTTCAAGGGGTAGGAAAGAGCAACAGGAGTAGATTTGATGAAATCTAATTCAGACAGAATCTTTTCCTTTGGTTTTGGAGGTCACATATACAGTTTTATTATGGTATGAATAAAATTAGATTATATATATCTAATATGCATTTTTATATAACCAAAAATAATGATTTGACAAAAAGTAGCCTAATGTCCAACAAAATACTCTCCTTTCAGGGAAAATCCCATTAAAATCAGTTTAGCTGTTCTTATTAGTCAAGATAATCAGAAAGACAAAAATTGTAAAAATGTGCAAATGAATATTTATATTATTAGTAAATATATAATGTTTTAAATGGCAGTTCTTTTAACTTGGTCATGTATAAATACAGTACACATATCAAAATATAACAAATGGTGTTACGCAGTTGCACAGACTTTCTCGTACTAATTTTCTAATGTTTTTGGTTGGTCTGGGCTAACTTTTCTGTTCTGCCCCATCCTCTTGCCAGCTGCCATCTATCACCGCCTAAAGTACATTTTTTTGAAAGGGTATAGCAGAATAAGGTGGGTGAAATTAGCTCATGGTGAAAGTAGAAGATGATATTATCTTATTCTACTCCCAAAATAACACAGAAAAACAAATTATATAATTGTTTATTTTACTATAGTGATGTAATATCAAAAAATGAGGTTTTTGCCCTTTTCTCACTTTTGACAGTGTACCTTGGCGGAATTTAGATTTTTTGACGTTTAACGTAATAAACTGTATTATTTAGACAATTGTCTAAGATATATACTAATTCGGAGGGAAAGAAACAGGAATATATTTCACTGCATTTGCATTTAAAATTAGCCAATACCAAAAAAACAATATAACATGAGAGAATAGACTATTAATGAATCATTAGTGAGTGGCTTTGGCATCTTTACAGTATTCATCTCGGTTACTACACAAGAGGCATTAACGAATTGCTTCGCGTGGTGCACAACTCCGACAACTGCAGGCAGAATGAACACGCACTTAATACCCGGCAGAGATGGGCTTACGTTGCGCACTTTCCAGAGGAACATTTGCCATGGAAAGGTATCGATGTCGGTAGAGGGGACCACCGCCTTGTCCTCTGAGACACGCGTGCTTTGATTACGTCGCGAATCTGCTCAGCGCTCACGGTTCAACCAAGTAAACATTCGGAGCCGTTTTTTAAAAAAAAAAAACACGCGTAAGTGCTACTTTACGCCAAATGTTGAATTTACAGTAGCAATTAAGCACCATTTTTTTAAAAAACGGCTCCAAATTTTTCAATTAAAATTGCCATTTTGGTCGAGGTTTAACTGTTCTTTAATATTCTCAAAATAATAATTCCGTTCTACTATTAGGAAACCGAAAAACTAAGAAAAGTTTTAAAAAATTTACTTTGGGCGGCAATAGATGGCAGCTGGCGAGAGTCTGTGGCAAGTTCGTATAGCTAGCCGAGACCAAAGGAAATAGAAAACTAATATGGATAAGTCTGTGCCATTCTGTAGCACCACTAGTTTCGATATTGTCTTATCGGAATCACCTGCTGTGTCTGAAGCAGAAGGGCGTAGCTTTGTGAGCAGAACGTTCTCTTGGATATTGGGCCAACTCGCGTAGGATCTCACACGTACAAGTGGCTCTTTGCAGTTTGTCTTCCCGCAGCACGCCATTTCATTTTTATTGCATGCTCTCAAACGGCGTGAGGGTTGTCTCGACTTCCGCAAACGCGAACGGTTGTAGTTACCGGCAATTTAGCTTACGAAATCATGATGTTGAATTTACGACGAAATGTTTATGACCATATTTAGTTGCCATTATGTGTAAGTAGCCTACCCCCTCCTCGTTTCAGAATCTCTCACAAATATTAAAGTAGTGACGGTATATTGACTTTTTACCTTCTCGTCTTACGAATTCGTCGTAAGGAGAGAAGATTATGTAATTGTGCGCCAGAAAAAAAAAGAAAAAAACTTCATTGCCGGATTCTGGTAACGAAAATGTGGATAAATTCAGTTGCAAAATTTATATAAAATAATCCTTTAACTCGTGATGTAGCCAGAATACATGCTGTGTTGATTCTTCATGCCGAAAAATTGTTTGACGTCAAAACGTTCGTCCATCTGTCTAACTGTTAATCTGTGGTCAACGCTTGCGCCTAAACCGTTCAGCCAATTTTCTTCAAAATTGATATGAATGAACTAGTCGCTTTGGGATTTTCAAACGGATATTTTGATTTTTGAGGTTACGTTACATGAAACGATGGGCGACAGCTATCCAGATAGTGGGATCAAACTGACATAAAACAGCAGAGAGGATAGCAAATCTCCTTAAAAATTCCCCTGTTAATCTGAATACATCTTATTTCTACTACTTCTTTTTTGCTGTACTTTAGTAACCTGGTACTCCATAACTTCATACTAGCCTTGCAAAACACAGTAAGTGTAGGACGAAATCAAAAGATCTCTAGGGCCTTCAAAATCCAATCGTATGGCACTCTCAGTGGCCTTCTGATAGTTAATCATGCCTAAATTACGTTTTCGTTTCCTTACATTATTCAAGATGACCGTATTTAGTAGCAAGATTTACTTACAACCATAAGAACCTTAAAGATATTCGTTATTTTTAAGTGGCAACAAATGGTTCTTCTCTAGGTGTCTGCACACATTTGGTTAGCTGTGGTTGCAGTTATAACTTTGCACAATATGGCAGACAAGTGATTGGCCTGTAGTTCTTCACCAAGGAACGGTCTCCCACTTTTGATAGCAAATACATGATGCTGCATGTGAGTCACTCCAGGAGTTCTTTTGGATTTTCTAGAATTTTATTACTAGTCTTTGCCAGATGAAAATGTAATGCTGTTAACTTCTTAATGTAATAATTCAGTAATTATCTTAATTTCTTAATTCCAATAATTATTAATCCAGGGAGATTTCCATTTTCCCATGTTCTTAATTGCTCGGTAGAGGCCCTCTTCCAAGAATTCGTGAAAATGTTCCACTGTATCCACAAGTTTATCGGCAGTACCAACTTCAAATTGATGACAAAATACGACTTGGTTGTAGGAGCTGTTTTCTTCCCATATTCCTGCCCAAAATGTTTCGACATTTTTTGGAGGAACAGCATTGACATTCAGTTTTTGAGTCTGATTGCGGTAGAATCTCTTCGCGTCTGTGTCAAACAATCGGTTCTATACACGGAAATCTACTCTATGTTTGTAACGCCTAAATCGTTGAACTCATGCCGGGATTTTCTCTTTTAGCTTCTGAGTCACCACTGGCCTTGTTGTGACATTTTGAATATGGTATTTTTGTTCAATAAGGAGTTTTGTGTTGGAGTATTTTTCGTCGAAATTTAGAAGATGTCTTGGCTAAGAGTGATTTTTCACACCGGCTATCAGTTTTGTAATTCTTTTCGCCAAGCGGGGTACGGAGCTGTTTACTCTCTGCCGGCTGCCGGTGTTCCTGACTGGCCCAAAATTATCTGAGATACCAGAGATCTAGTTACATACACGATGTGATTGATTTCAGTAACATATAGATCTCTACTTGGGGTCTGACGCACCTCATTTAAAACAGAATTCGCTGCCTCTCTCTCTCTCTCTCTCTCTCTCTCTCTCTCTCTCTCTTAGCTTTTGTCTTTTTGTGTATTCGTCTCAACGGTGCACGAGATTCGCATGGACGTAGATGAACTCTTTCAATCTCACGTCGAAGGAGATTCCGCATCATGTCCATATCATATGATTATAACAAGATACATATTCACCACTGACCGAAGTTTCATAGGGAAATCAACAGAATTATCCTTTACAGAGATATTAGATGTTTTTTTATGTTCATCATGTGAATAATTCTATCGAATTTTCCTACTCTGCATTACCTTAAATGCCAGCAAGCTGTTATGCTGTAAACTTTCCACTACTGAGTATGTATAGTCGTTGACTCGCGAGCTTCTTTGACTCTATGGGAGTCTCATACAATATCTGGGTTCCGATCTCTTCTTATTTTGTATTATTTTGTATGTTTTGTAAACTTCTATTTATGAGTTCCCACTTTTCGCTTTCTCATAGTAAAATAATCACCTCATCCTCAATTCATCCTGGGTCCATCTCTGACGATGGTTTCGAGGTATTGCGGGCTCTGGGTCCGAGGGGCTAATATCCGTGGAATGGTTAGACGTCGACGTTGGCTCAGTTTCTGAGCAGGTATGGGGTATTAGACACGGTTAAGACTCATTATATTTTTGTTCTATGAATTTTGCTTGTGTCCGCTAAGGACATTATAAGTAAATATGTTAACAACAGTAGATAACGAATAATAAATAATAAAAATAAAAATTATTAATATCACCTCCCCCTGTCGTGGAAGGTGACTTATCGGAGCAACTGTCCGCTGTCACTCCCCTAAAAATCCTGCAATTCCAACAAACTTGGTGTGTCATTGCTTCCACTTACTTGTGGCAC